CCCCTCAGGGAATCAACCCTCGGGGGATCATCGCTCCTTTAGAGCTTCGCAACCAGTTGAGCCGCCAAAGGAACACACTGGGCCCTCTTCAAAGAGCGTACCAGCGGTATTCTTCGGTGCTCCTCCCAACGACCGGATGTCGATCACTGCATCGGAGGGAGGCCAAGGCACTGAGGAACCTGCACGAGGGTGGTCATGATCCGGAATTTCTGGAAAAGCTCCGAACCGCTACTGACCTCACGCTCCGAGTGACGAAGGTCATCGCGAGTTCTCTGGGTCATGCGATGTCCACACTTGTGTTCCAGGAGCGTCATCTCTGGCTGTGTCTGGTTGATATCAGGGACGCCGACAAAGTTTGGTTCCTTAATGCCCCTGTGTCCCAGACGGGCCTCTTCTGCGACGCGGTCGAGAGCTTGGCCCAGCAGCTCTCGGCTGCACAGAAGCAGACTGAGGCGGGTTGTCACACCCTGCCCTGGCGGGCAGCTGCTGCCTCCACCCATCCGCCGGCCGCAGCGCCCCAGCTTGCTCATCACCAAGGGTGGCCCCCAGCGTTCGCCCCTGCTCCCGCGCCACATCTGCAGCAGCCTCCAGCAAGCGGCGCCGTGGAGCTGGGCGTAGGCAGGTCGCCCCACCCGTCCAGACCCCCGTCAAACCTGGCAGTGAGCGAAAGAGCAAGAGACCCCGGGACGGGTGACCCAGAGAGGGAGGAAGCTGCTCTTTGGGGGATGGTGAAGGCAGAATCTGGAAAATCTCGATGAGAGAGCGGTTTTCTCTGTCTCTGGGTCCAAGGAGGGCACGGAGAGTCGCGGAAGGACCAGCACCGGACCACACTCATCCTCCTCCATCGCCAGCAGGCAGCAGCGGGCGGTTCAAGAGCGTCAACAAAGGCCCTACTCACGCACCCTCTGCCAAACTGTGGAACCAGGTAAGCGTTGCACCGCACACTCAGACCCCTCTTCGGTCCGCTCACAAGCCGCCCGAGTTGGGTCCCTGCATTCCACCTTGCTGCCCCACTGTGGGTATGGCAGTGGTTCCGCTGGTCCCGCTTGCACAGTATCTGGGTGCCAGGCTAGTGCTACCCAACCCGTCTCATTGGCTTCTGCGGACCATCAGCCTCGGCTATGCGATTCAGTTCACCCTGCATCCCCCCAAGTTCAGTGGCATCCGCTTCACGACCGCTTCCTTTCTTGCGTGCGGAGATCGCAGTCCTACTGCTGAAGGATGCGATAGAGCCGGTCCCTCCATCCGATATGAATACAGGGTTTTACAGCCCTTACTTCATTGTACCCAAAAAAGGCGGTGGGTTACAACCAATCTTGGATCGGCGTGTCTTGAACCGGGCCCTTTGCCGGTTACCATTCAAGATATTGACGCAGAAACGCATCATCGGGTGGATCCGTCCCCGAGACTGGTTTGCAGCAATCGACCTGAAGGATGTGTACTTTCATGTGTCGATCCTTCCGCGGTTCGGGTTCGAAGGACGAGCATATCAGTGCAAGGTCCTGCCCTCCGGGCTGTCCCTGTCGCCCCGTGTCCTCACATAAGTTTTGATGGCAGCCCTTGTTCCCCTGAGAGAACAGGGAGTTCACATTCCCAACTACCTTAGCGACTGGCTCATACTAGCTTATTCTCAGCATCAGTTGTGTGCACACAGGGACTTAGGGACTCAGCCGGTTGGGCCTTCAGGTCAACTGGGAAAAGAGCAAACTCTCCTGACGCAGAGGATCTCTTTTCTCAGTATGGAGTTGGATTCGGTCGAACAGACAGCACGCCTCACAGAGGAACGTGTGCGGTCAGTGCTGAACTGCTTGAATTCGTTCAAGGGCAGGACAGCGGTCCCAATGTTTGTTTTTGATCCTTTTTCATGATTTACTTTCGTTCAAACTTTCTAAAGGCTACACATTTAGAGTAATATGAACTAATTGTTGTTATGAGGGAAGTCGTGGCCTAATGGTTAGAGAGTCGGACTCATAACCCAAAGGTTGTGGGTTCGAGTCTCATACCAGCAGGGATTGTAGGTGGTGAAGGTCTCCCACCTTCAATACCACGACTGAGGTGCCCTTGAGCAAGGCACTGAGCCCCCAACTGCTCCCTGGGCACCGCAGCATAAATGGCTGCCCACTGCTCCGGGTGTGTGTTCACGGTGTTTGTGTGTGTTCACTGCTGTGTGTGTGCACTTTGGATGGGTTAAATGCAGAGCACTAATTCAGAGTATGGGTCACCATACTTGGCCACATGTAACTTCACTCACTTTTTTTTTTTTTCACTTTTTTATTACAACATGACTCTCTGGAATACTTGATTGAGCTAAACTCTATAGGACAGTGGCCCTCCAGGACTGAGTTTAGACACCTTGGGCCTAAAGAATCATACCAACTTGTGGAAAATGGGCATTCGATGTCCCCTTTAATACTTAAAGGGATAGTTCACCCTAAAATGAAGACCCATAAGAAATCTGTTCATCTTCAGAAAACAAATTAAGATATTTTTAAATAAAATTTAGAGATTTCTGTCCCTCCATTGAAAGTCTGTTCACCCAAAACTGACGCTTCCAAATATTCGTAAAGAGATCAAAACAGCTTCTGTTTATGTTCGCTGATCAGTGTTTATATGTGAATAAAGCAATCAAATCTCTTCAAAAGACTTGGAGTCATATCAATTTATTTTTTGATCTCTTTACAAATGTTTTGAAGCTTCAGAGTTTTGGGTGAACAGACTTTCAGCGGAGGGATAGAAATCTCTAGATTTGATTAAAAACCTCTTCATTAGTGTTGTAGGATGAACGAAATTCTTATGGGTTTGGACCGACATGAGGGTGATTAAATGATGACAGAATTTTCATCTCTTTAACTCTAGAGGTTTGTTGAGATCACGAACCTAAAGTATAAGCGGTAGTAACAGTGATGCTGCCTTGTCTTACAAACACCAGTAAAAACCCGTTAGAACCAAACAAACGTTTCGCATACTTTGTTTACCTTGAACGTGCAACCTCCAGACTCACTTACAGTATGTATGGTCTCTCTTTTTAAAGCCTCAGTTTCAGAATGGAGCGTCAGAAAGAGAGAGAGGCTTGCGTGGATCTGACTGTGTGGGAATACTTCACGAAAAAGACACAGCACTCCACTCTCCTTGAGTCATTTCTTTCTCTTTCTGCCTGTCTCTCTCTCTCCGCTGAATCCTCTTTCCCCTTATCAGGCCAGCACAGGCCTCCATCGGCCTCTCCCCGCTCTGACAGGAGCAACAACAATGGGCCTGCGATACCAGTCCGCTTCACAGGGTAAACCTGCCACGGGCACAGATTACCCGTGACACACACACTCGCAGTCCCTCTCGTACTCTCCAAAACACAACACCGCCTTCTCCAAGGCCTCAAAACACAAAACGGACACAAAAACCTTTCAAATAATTTAACTCCTGTCCCTTGCTCTCTTCTTAATCTGTCGGTCCGGTCTCTATGTCTGTAGCCTTCCTGTAATGACCTGCAATTCACTGAGACTGTATACAAAGTAAAACATTATGCTGACCTAGATCAACCACAATAGTACACACTTATGTTAAAGGGATAGTACACCCAAAAATGAAAATTCTGCCATTAATTACTCACCCTCGTGTTGTTCCAAACCTGTAAGACCTTCATCTTTGGAACCCAATTTAAGATATTTTTGATGAAATCTGAGGGTTCTCTGACCCTCCCATAGACAGCAAGGTAACTACCACGTTCAAGGTCCAGAAAAGTACCAAGATGATCGACAAAGTAGTCCGTGTGACATCAGTGGTTTAACTGTAAAGGTACGAAGCTACGAGAATACTTTTTTGCGCAAAGAAAACAAAAATAACGACTTTATTCCACATTTTCTGGGTCAGCGCCGCCACACGCTCGCGTCATGATACTGTTGTGAACGCAGTAGAGATGAAAATGTGGAATGAAGTCTTTATTTTTGTTTTCTTTGCGCAAAAAAGTATTCTCGTAGCTTCGTACCTTTACAGTTAAACCACTGATGTCACACGGACTACTTTGTCGATCATCTTGGTACTTTTCTGGACCTTGAACGTGGTAGTTACCTTGCTGTCTATGGGAGGGTAAGAGAGCCTTCAGATTTCATCAAAAATATCTTAAATTGTGTTCCGAAGATGAACGAAGGTCTTACGGGTTTCGAACAACACGAGGGTGAGTAATTAATGACAGAATTTTCATTTTTGGGTGAACTATCCCTTTAAGTCACGTCATAATGATGGTATTTATGAGATGAACGAATGTCAAAAATTTCAGCAAAAATTCAGACTGTATAATTTAGCATGTTTTTATTCTTTTAAAGATAAAGAATAGGGATAAAGGTGAAGAAGTTAGGAAAGCTGATTGCTAAAAGTCTAAACAGACAAAACTGCATTTCCCATCATTCTCTGTACATCAGTTCTAGAGTTATGTCAGTTCAAGTCATGTCGGATAGATCGTATTTACGAGTTGAACGCACATGAACGCCACCACAAAGTCGTTATTACGAGTGGGAAACTTGAAATTTTCTTTAAGCCCCGAGTTTCCGAGTTGGGGGCGGGTCAATGAAAAACATAGTGAAATCGATGGAGGCAACGTCTGTAGTTGATGGTAAATTTTTGTTTAAATTGATAGTTTAGTTGTCCTATAAACTTAAATTGGTCATGTTCTTGTTACGCAGCTGAAATCCAAGTAAAAAAATGCAGACCCTGTTGTATTTTCTTGTAATTTATTAAAAGAAGTTACACCGCCATCTTGTGTCGACTAAACTGACTTGAACGCACCTGATGTTGTAATTACGACTTGTCAACTCGTAAGTACGAACGTCCCAGGAGGACTTGAACACAGCATTATTTCCTTTTCATTTTCTTGTGAAAATTTTTTTTTTTAAATTTGTCATCAACAGAAATTTCTAAAGAAATGTCCTAGGGAAATCAGGTTATCATGTCCACATTTTGCCCCGAATTTACCTTTTGAATTCACCTCCATAATAAATAAGCAAACCCACCTTGTCACTTCCTCCTGTGGCCGCCTCAATCTTCCCAGGGAAAGGTCCCCATGTGGTGCCCAGCAGAAGTGCCTGACAAGAACAAATCCTTCTCTCTCCGCCTTCACCAATCTTTTTCAGCTCCCCTGCAGGAAAAGAAAAATACAGTTATGACATAAACAAAAGCTCGGCATGTTTTTCAGTTGTTTTTGATGTTATATTTAAAAAGTTTCATTTAAGTACAATACAGTTCAAAGGTTTGGGGCTGGTAAGATTTTAAATGTTTTTGAAAATAGTCTCTTATGTTCTCTTATGAGGCTGCGTTGGTTTGATAAAAATAAACTAAAAACAGTAATATTGTGAAATATTATTACAATTTAAAATAACTGTTTATGGGAATATATTGTTAAATATAATTTATTCCTGTGATTCAAAGCTGAATTTTCAGCATCATTACTCCAGTCTTCAGTGTCACATGATCCTTCAGAAATCAGTATAATATGCTGATTTGCTGCTCAAGAAACATGATTATTATTATCAATGTTGAAAACAGCTGTGCTGCTTCATATTTTTGTGGAAACGGTGATACTTTTTTAGGTTTCTTTAATGAACAGAATGTTCAAAAGAACAGCATTTATTTGAAACAGAAATTATTTGTAACATTATAAATGTCTTTACTGTCACTTTTGATCATGTTGAAATAGGATGTAAGTCTCTAGTACATTCTAAAAAATGCTGGGTTTAAAAAGGGACAAACCCAGCTATTGGGTTGTTTTGACCCAGCGGTTGGGTTGTTTTGACCCAGCGGTTGGGTTGTTTTGACCCAGCTATTGGGTTGTTTTGACCCAGTGGTGAGGTTGTTTTGACCCAGCTATTGGATTTCAAACCTTACTGACCGCAAACGTTTGAACAGTAGTGTATAGGGCCATAATAATAATACACATCACTACTACCTGTACAGTAATATGATGCACTGTTGTATTATATATTCGTTTATACTGTGTATTGTATTGTATATTATGTGCATTTCAGTCTCGCTGGGGTGACCTGGGGTTTAGTGTCTTGCTCAAGGGCACAATGCTGAAGGTTCATGGACTTTAAACCTACTTCTACACAGTTACCAGCTGAGATCTTTAACCAAAACACCACAGCACTCCATGAGCAGACTAAGCCCTAGTGTGAGCGTCTCCCTCAATTAGAAATCATACAGCCATCCATCGGACCCTCTCCTGGGTGACCCTGCCTGTCTCTTTGATTAGGCTTTCACTCACTGCTGCGACAGGGCTTCAGATAAGGTTGATTAAGCCCCTTTTTGATGGAAGTTTTGATGTGAACAGTGCAGAATCGTGTTAAATTATCCAGTTTCAGGAGGAGATGCGAAATGCCAGCAGATGGATTGATAAATAAAGAGAATCTTGAGGCAGTGCTTTCAGGGTTAAGCCTTTACACCCATCCCCTCTCTGGATTAATAGATCTCTTCAACTACAGAAGGGCGCCAATGTGGGGCATGATTCAAAAATATTTTCTTTATAAATATATATTTAGATATTTATGAATTCTGCACACCAATACTTCACTGATGATGCAATATGTTTATACTTTAGAATAATCAAAAATCAAAACTGTCAAATATGTCTTGTAACTGACTGCAAATATATGTATGCACAAGTGAAAAAAAATCATTTAAAATTAAATAAAAAATATACAAATAAAAGGAATTTAAAAAATATGAGAGCTGCGGTAAAAAGGAAGATTTTCAGCAAATAAAGACTTAAGTTTCAGTCTGCTTCATGGAAATCATCTTACTGTATGGAGAAGAGCAGCATGAACATTCTTCAAAATATATTTTTTTATGTTACACAAAAGAAAGAAAGGCATATAGGTTTAGAACATACATTTTAAATGGTAAATGTTAAATCTGAGTCTGTAAACTTTCAGTTAACATGAAAACGCATCGAAGGTTCAAGGAATCGTTCACCCAAAAATCATGTCATCATTTACTCATCCTCATGTCGTTCCAGGGTTGGAAATTAACAGGGGCTCGTGGCAAAAATGCGACCAAAATGAACAAAAATTCCCCACAAATTCAAGATAAAGTGGCAAAAATTGCCCCTGCACGATTAAATGACATCGATTACGGCTGATGCGATTAAAATGAAAAGTGAAAATGTATGAAAAGTGTCAATTCGTGGAATAACATTTAGATCGGCGCACGTTGCATCAGATTGCTTTTTTTTTGCAGTGTTGAGCATTATAACCAATTGCACACATTTCTGTTGAGCTAGGTGTATGCAAATTTCCAGTGTTGTTATATTTGTCTTATTTGTCATATTCAGTGAGTCTTATATTGTTACTTTTCAGTATATTCATATTATCTTTTTATGTTACTGTTATATTTAGTCTTACTCATTTTTATTATGTATTCCATTTATACTCATATTCCGTTGATGTAGTATATTTTTCTTCATTTGACATATAAGAAAGCACATCTTGTTATGCTTAAGTGATGTTTTAATAGGATGTTGGAAACTTACTCTCTGCAGAAAAATTTTTTGTATGCAAGGATGTTCGCTAAATGTGTCTTCTGTCTTCATGGTACTACATGTTTCTTTCCGAGAGCTGCTATTTGCTATTTGCAGAGTGATACTTGAAAATTGCCAGGATGTGCTGTGCTGCTCAAAAGGTGTAAAACCACAGTCACATCTGTATTTTTATCTGATCTTATCTGGCCTTCATTGTCATGTCAGTGTGATCTGACCTAGCTTTGAACTTCAAGTTAATTTAGGTGGAGGAATACATTTGGCAAGACGTAGATAAATTCGTTTGACGTCTATAGATCAGACCAAAACATCTCGTGGTGTTGAAATAGGATGTAAGTCTCTAGTACATTCAAAAAAATGCTGGGTTAAAAAGGGACAAACCCAGCTATTGGGTTGTTTTGACCCAGCGGTTGGGTTGTTTTGACCCAGCTATTGGGTTGTTTTGACCCAGTGGTGAGGTTGTTTTGACCCAGCGGTTGGGTTGTTTTGACCCAGCGGTTGGGTTGTTTTGACCCAGTGGTGAGGTTGTTTTGACCCAGCTATTGGGTTGTTTTGACCCAGCGGTTGGGTTGTTTTGACCCAGTTATTGGGTTGTTTTGGCCCAGCGGTTGGCTTGTTTTGACCCAGCGGTTGGGTTGTTTTGACCCAGTTGTTGGGTTGTTTTGACCCAGTTATTGGGTTGTTTTGGCCCAGCGGTTGGCTTGTTTTGATAGCTGGGTTTGTCTCTTTTTAACCCAGCGCTGGGTTATATTTAACCCAGCATTTTTTAGAGTGTATATATATTATTCCAATTGGCTTTTCAGGCAGCTTCTTCTTTTCTTTCACATGCTCCAAAGGGTGAGCAAATTATGACAGAATTTTCATTTTTGAGTGAAACAGGATAGACAACATGAACATTACGCAGGATGGGACTCATTTTTAATCATCAGGAATGAAAAGTGTCCATTATATACTAGAAAGTCTGATGGATGATTGGGTGAAGTATTATCATTTTGATGTAAACCAAAAAGGAAAGTTGTTTTAGAGGCGGAGCAAGTTATTACATTTTGACAAAAGATTACAAAAATATTTTTTTTTATCTCTGGAAGTGCACAGATAGTTCACAATGACAACAGCAATGTGTATAATGAAAATAAAAAGCGTCCATTTTGATTTCGCATTGGCTTTCAAACTAAGAACCGACTTATAATTTACAATCCAATCAATGTTTGAGAAAACCATGTTAAAAGCTACTACAACATCAGGCGGAAATCTTTTTTCTTTCAAAATATTTTTTGTACCGTTCCACTTCAATGCATCAAATGAACATTAGGACACTCGCAATGAACTACACTTCATCTTCAAAATGTAGTCACACTCCATAGCACTTCAGAACGCAGGAGTACTGAAATAAACAAAAGTCATTATCAGAAAAATGACTGAGGGAAGAGCTGTTCTTCTACGTCAGATCCAAAGTGAAGTAATCAAAAGCCACAGAGAAACCAGCAAACCGGCCTTTTCTGCACCTCTCTCCTTCCACACTGTCCCTCTCTTCCATCTCTCTCTCTCTCTCTCTCTCTCTCTCTCAGTGGTCTAATCTGTGAGGGACTTAAAGGGACCTTATCTCCAGGCTCTCCTGCTTCATTTCATGCTTGATTTACTTTAATTTGTCTGATAGGGCAGCGGGATTTGGAGACGGCCCATCTATGGCTTGGGTGACGAGTGAAGAAAAAAAAAAGCCACTCTGATATTTCTCTGGCACATTGTCGCGGGTTTTTGACTTCTCTCCTCTCTCTCTCTCTGCCGCGAGTTTCTGGAGAGAGAGACGGGGAAAGAGCGGGAGAGAATGCGCGGGAGAATGAGAAAGATCTCAGTGCAGTGCAGCAGGCTGTTTGAGTGTGCTTGGAGTCAAGCAGACAGAGAAGAAAAGGATTGTGGGAGTGTGGCGTGATTGTGTGATGTAGATGTCGGAGGCAAAGTGCACTGCGTGGGTGAGTGGGGTTCAAACGCGCCGTCTGCCCTGGACACACAATGCACGCGTTATACTCAGTTTATTTAAGATTATGGCCGTACTCTGTTTACGATAAAATGGGTCTTGTTTATGAAATGTGAGCAGAACCATTTTTTTGTGTACGTTTTTTGTCTAGATGAAGTGAATATGACAATATACTTAAATTGTTTTACTAGTGATTTATGCTGAAATGTGTTCTTGCATTTCATGAGCATAATTAAGAATATATAAAAATAATCAAAATATATACATATATACTACAATATATATATGTATATATATGTGTGTGTGTGTGTGTGTGTGTGTG